GTTTGAGCTTGAGATGCAAAGCGGGGATGAGCCCTGGGGCCCCCAGGAAAGCATTCCCACCGCCCACCTTCAGCTCGGGGCACCGACCTGCTTGGCACGGAGCAGCCCCGGGCACTGGCAGCCCACGGGGCTGAGCCTGCCCTCCCTTCCCAGGAAGGATGGTGCTCATACAGCTCCTGAGAGCACGCTCACTGCAGCAGCAGGCTGCACTTTCGCGTGAATGCCCAAGGAAACCCAGCACAGCTGAGCACAGCTGACCAGCACCAGGCGAGGGGCAGAGCAGGCAGACAGGGCTCCGCTCTGGCTCCACGGCCACGCAAAGCCCACACTGGGGCTCACCCCTCTGTCAGGGCACCCTGGGTCCCACGGCCCCTCCAGGTGTCCCAGCTGAGCCCCCAGCCCCGGCAGGGCAGTGAGGGACACCCACGCCCCATGTGCAGTGCCACATCCCAGAGCACAACTGGTGATGGTGACAACCATGGTACAGCTCTACAAACCTGGGCAGTGACACCTTGGGGAGCTGCCAGCAACTCTAAACAGCCTGCACTGCAAAACACAGAAATCAGGCTTGCTACAAGAACTCCTGCCTCATTTTTAATGAAGAAATTAAGTGTAAATTCCCAGTTTCCTTTCTGTGGCTAATCCTCTGGATTTATTTGAGTAGATGTAGGGTTAGAGCACATTTAGTTTCATGTTTGGAATTTCTAAATTAGTATAAACCAGCACTTCAAAGTAACTCAGCTCCTATAAAACTCAATCCCACGGAGATGCCACAGTATATTTGGACAGTAAGTAGATGCTTTGTCATATTCCCACGTGTATATGAGATTTTTTTCTTTGGGAACATTTTCTGACTGGTTTTAAACCACATTTCCATGCCCAGGCACACATATATACAGAGATTGTTTATATAGTCTACCCAAGGAGTTCATTTTATTTAACAACCCATTATAGTACAGCTCACTGGTGGGTATCTCATCATTACACCCCCAAACACAGTGTTCAGTGACCATGCAGGATCTGACACAAAGCCACAAGAGCCAGAAACTTGAGAATTAATGCTGAAACATTTCATTATCCCATGCCACTATGCATATGGTTTTCAGCAGAGGAAATAAACTGGATTTTCAGCCTTTTTTCAGTTGCAGGCCCCAAAATATTTCCCAAGAGAGATGTAGTTCCCTGTCCTGCAAATCTAGGCCTAATGAATATATCTGCTTTCTGTACCTCTCCAGGAGATTTTAGGAGACCGTGGGGCTCATGCAGAACCCACACAAGACACTGAGTTTGGTGCAGCTGTGAGCATGGGATGGGGTTTCCAGTGCAGCTTTTCCTCAAAGGAACTTGTTCATCACACCAACATGCACACACAAAGGTGCCTGAGCGTATCCCCTGCCAAAATACCCACTGAGAGATGGAGCAGTGGCAAGAGGACACTGTGGGGGCTTTGCTGCCCTGGGACGTGGCTGGGATGCAGTGTGACCAGAGGAGCAGCCAGGCAGACCTTTGTGTTCAGTGGCACTGAGGGGACGCTCCCGGGATGTCCCACTGCTCTGGAGCCAGCCACAAGCTGGGATTGGGCTCTTGCCTGCTTTGCTTGCTTACGAAATGTCTGTGTGGGATGTCTTGAGCATCCCACAGCTGTGTCACACTCCAGCCGTGTTGTGCAGCCAGCATAACCTTCAAACCCACTGGGCCACAATCCTCCCGGGGTAGGACAGCTCAAATAGGAGCTATAAACCCACGCAGTGTCCCAAGAATTTGATAAGCTCTGTCAGCACACTGCTGCAAATGCTGTTACCGGCAGTTTGCTCCAGAGCTCCTACTCCTCTTCCCTTCTAGGGGCTTGAGTCCAAATTCCACACGGGCTTTGAGTGGGCAAAACACCACAGTGATTCCATGCAAGTATTCCAATTTAGCTGCATTTGACACAAAATTCATTATAAAAACTATTTCTGTTGAGGGGAAGCAATCCTGGAGCTCACCCACTCACTGTCGGTGCAAGAAGCCAACCAACCTAAATCCTTCCCTCACACATCCTCCTTCCCCTGAGCTGCCACTGTGAATTCATCTCCTCAGTACGTGACTTTTCAGCAACCCTCATTGAGAAGAACCAACAGCCCCCACTCCTGACCTAGACCATCCTCCTCTGCACATTTTCTCCTCGTCTGACACAAAGCTGTTAAGCATGTGCTTAATTGCAGTAAGCATTTCCATGGAGGACAGGGGCTGTTCCCAGGCCAGGCTGGCGGCTCCCCGTCCCCAGCCTGGGGCACGCAGGCCAGCAGGGCAGCTGGCAGACCCCCCTGCCTCACCCCTCCGTGTGGCCAATGCACACGGCCAACACGGGAGCCAAACAAGCGCTGCCACCACGTCCACCTGCACAGGGACAAAGCCCCTGGCTCTGTGCCGGCCTCCCTGGGCCTCCCAGCACAGCCCTGCCCCGGGCTGCAGGCAGCAATGAGCAGCATTGCACTGGCAGGGATGGCGGGCACGCTGAGTGCCCACTCCCAAACCCCGCACGGGGGGCCAGCGCTGCAGCTCCCTGGCGGAGCCAAAGCAAGCGCTGCTGGAGAGGAGCATTCAATTAGACTGGAGAGCACACAAGGGGTCAATGATTTTCCTTTCACACTGCATTACACCTAACAGCCCATGGTCCAGACTTGTAACAACTGACTACTTCAGCTGAACACACGCTTGGAATGAATCAGGCCAATATCAGGGCTTTTTCCTTCCAAAAGGAGATTAAAACCCAAGCATTTGGTCCTCGGGAAGAGCTATCGAGTCACATTTACTAATACCAGAGCCCCTATCAGTGATGCACAGGGATGCAATGGGAAAACTGGAAACCCACTAACAGATACTGATCTGCTCTGCCAGACCGGCTGCTGCTTTAATACATTTTCCTGCTGCCTTTCCATGTCTGGGACACAAAACGTATTGGTGGAAACTGATGTTAGGTTTTTACAGCACAAAGAAACACCCTATTACAACTCTTCTCTTGACACTGCCACTCTGGGACTTGAAAATAAAAACAGCTGGTTGTTAACTTGTTGGCAATTCTAACAATTAAGGAAAAAGCAATGAAAAAAAAATAAAAAGGCTCTCCTGACTAGCAGGATGGCTTCCCAGCAGGCTTGATCAGCGGTTTTAGAGGAATATGCTTCAAATAAATGGGAAGTGTAGAAATATTAGGCATGAACGAATATTAATGTTATGCTTCATTTATATCCTGCTGTACTTGACATCAAAGGATCTCAAAGCAGCTTTACAAATGCAATCTGACACTACATGAGTTTGTTCTGAATAACAATAAATACAGGAGTACGTGGGAAACTGAGATACCTTGGGTTCAATGACTGGTTCGAGGCCAGTGACAGAGCAGCAACGTCAGTTGGTACAAGAACCCAATCTCCCCATCCACCTTATATCACCACTGGTCTTACTGCTGCCTCCACATGAACAAGTCTTCTTGCAGCCTGCTCTTGCCATGGTTGCAAAGAGAGGTTCCCACTGACTCCCAATGGCTTGGCAGCGCTCAGTTATTTTAGCTCATTCCCCTGACCCTCATATCCTGTTGCTCATCCCTTCAAGAACACAGCATCCTTCTCAGCTTTTATGGCAACACCCTTGGTCACCCATCCTGGTCACCCTCCCTGCCTACCCAGGTAGTACTTGGGGAGGAAGGTGCTACCAGAAACACACATTACAGTGGAACAGTGTGACAAGCCAGGACCAAGAGTGAAATCTCATCTGTGCATAGTCTCCTTTGAGTCACTCATTAATTAGCTGTCTAAATACCTTACTGGATACAGCACTTGGTACTTTCAACATCAGCAGACTGATGATAGTGATGATTATTTTCTTTACTGAACAGAAGCTAGAAAACACTGTACCTCCACAGCAGCCCCGGAGTCCAGGGGAAGCTCAAGGGTGATGGGTGCTTCTGCCGCTGTGTTTCAGTTATGACCAGGCCGTTCGTTCATTCCCAAGCGCCTCGAGCAGCCCAGCCCCGCTGCTGCTGCCTGACCCGCCTTGGCACAGACAGCTCAGTCCCGCCCGGCTCGCTGAGCATCAGCACAGCCAACAACCACTGCGGGTGCCTTCACACCCTCTAAATAGGATTCCTGACTCCCAGTGAGTCCTCTGAGAGCCGTGACCATGCCACGATGTCAGGACTGAGCTTCCAGTGCTTAACACACCCAGTCTTTGTGGAATTAGCGCCAGCTACTAGATTTGTTGGCTGTCAGGCAGCTTGTACTTTGCCACCAGGGAAAAACCGTTCAACTTTGCTAGAGTAGGTCTATGAACCAAGTGCATTAAGACTACATATTTTACCACAGAGTGGAGATGCCACACTAAACACTCCGGTTACCATGGGAAACCTTTCTCTCTTTGCCACTGGCATTGCACAGAGAAGCCCAAGCCCAAATGCTCTATCTCGCCTCTGAAATCAAACAGATGTTTTCACAATCTTTGATGGAGCCGAGCTGTGCACTCGTCCCATAGGAAGGGAAAAATGCAGCGTTAAAGCAGCCTTTTCCCTCTCTTTTTTTCCCAAGCATCGTACATTTTTAGTGAAAAGGGAAACAGGAGACTCTGTCTCGCGCTAACATTTACGGCCACTCGGTAACAAATTGTGACAATGGCAAACTTCTGCCACGAACGCGGGGAGCCAAGGGTGGCTGTGTGCCGCCCCTGGCCGGGCTGTGCGCCGCGGGACGGGACACGGGGCTGGCGATGCCCGCGGACATGCGGGGCACCCAGGCTAGGGGAGCGATTCTGTCCCCGAGCAGGCGGGAGGGTCTCCGGGGACAGCAGGGAGGGCAGCGGGCTGTGAGGCTCAGCCGCCGCCCGGGGCAAGCAGGAGATGCGCTCCAGCTCGGGAGAGGTGGTGGCGACAGCAGCGGCCACGGGACGGGACACGATGGGGCCGCTGCCCTCCGCCGCCGCCGCGTCCCGCGCCCCCTCGCCCCGCAGGAGCCCGCCGCCCGCCGTACCTGTATATTTCTCTTCTCGCAGGCCGGGCCGGTGCCCTGCACCACGCTGTCCAGCACGGTAACCATGCCGGCGGCCGGGCTGACGAGGCAGGAGTTGCGGGCGGCCCGGATCGTCTCCTCGATCTCGGCGAAGCGGAAGACGCAGAGCGCGGACTGCGGCCGCCCCCGGCCGCCGCCGGCCCCGGCCCGCTCGAAGACGCCGAAGAGCAGCTCCTCGGGGGGCGGCGGGGCCGGGGCCGGGCCGTGAGGAGCGGCGGGGCTGCGCCAAGCTGCCCGCGCCGGGAAGACGGAGACGAGGCGGGTGAAGGCGTCGGCGGCGCCGCCGCAGCGCAGCCCCAGCTGGATATAGGACTCGGTCAGCTTCTTGGTCTCGCCGCTGCCGTTGAGGGTGGCCTCGGCCGGCTCGCCCAGGCAGATGCGGGCCAGCAGGCTGTGCGCCGGGCTCTCCTTGTCGCCCGCGTTGGCCTCACTGTTGAGCGCCAGGTAGGCGTACGGGCGGCGGGCGGGCGGCGTGGCCCCGTGCTGCAAGAAGGCGCGGACGAAGCTGAGCTTGTGCCGCGCCTTGTCGCCCGCCTTGATCTTGAGGATGTTGTCGTCGGAGGGGTTGATGTCGAAGGTGAAGAGCTTGGCCAGGTCGCCGCGGGCGTTGAGGGCACGGATAGCGATCTCGGGCGTGTTCTCGAAGCGGTGGTCCTCCAGGCTGTTGTTGCGGGGGAAGAAGGGGCTGCCGAAGCCAGTGTAGGTGGCGGCCACCAGCAGCCGCGCCCCGCCGCCGCCGCCGCCGCGGCGCAGCACCAGCCCCACGGTGGAGGCGTTGGGGTGGTTGGCCGCGACGTTCAGCATGCTTGGGAAGACCGCGACCGAGTCGCTCCCGCCCGGCGGGAAGCGCACGGCCACTGCCGAGATGTTTGCCATGCTGCGCAGCTGGCAGAGGCCCTGGTAGATGGAGCCGCAGACGACAAGGACGCCCTGCTCCGGGTCGGGCTGCAGGATCTTGTTGTAGTTGTTGGTGAGCACCCTGGGGTGCTCGCAGGAGGCCTGCGGCAGCTGCGGTGCGTGGCACAGCGGGCTGTCCAGCACCGGCCCCACCGCCGCCTCCGCCTCCAGTGTCAGCTCGCCCCCCGACAGCTGGAACAGCCGGTTGACGGCCGCCAGGTAAACGCGGGAGCCGGGGCCGTCCAGCGCAAAGTTGTTGGTGAGGGTGGGCGAGAGGAACTTGCGCTGCACCTCCAGGCCGGCGGCTCGGCCGGGCAGTAGCAGCGGCAGCAGCGGCAGCAGCAGCGGCAGCAGCGCGGGGGGCCGCGGCTCAGCGCCCGCCGCCGGGGCCGGGACCGGGAGCGGAGCCGGAGCCATCCCGCCGCCGCGCCGCGCAGTGCATGTGCCCGTCGCCGGGCGCGGGAGGGGCGGGCGCGGGGCCGCTTCCTGCGGAGGCAGCGCCCGCCGCCGAGCGACGCCCGCGGGAAGTGGCGGCCGCGGCGGGGGGCGGCGGGGGGCGGCGGGGCGCGCGGCCGCGCCCCCTCCCTGCCCCCGCCCTCCGCCCGCCCCCGCGCCCGCCCCCGCACCGGCGCTCACCGCGTCCCGGTGCCGCGGGCCCGTCACGTGCGTGTGCGAAGTTAGCGCTGTCTGCCGCGCCGCCGCCTGGGCGGCACCGAGCGGCGCCGGGGGGCTCCGGACAGGGCTGCTCCGGGCTGTCCCCCTCCTCTCCTCTGCCTCCTTCGCGTCTTCCAGCAGGACAGGCCGGCGGGGAAGGGGCGGGGGAAGAAGGACTTTTCCCAGCTGCGGAGCAGCACGGCGAGCCGGAACAGCCCTCCCCCGGAGCCCCCCGCAACCCACGCATCCCCCCGCAGCCCAACACCCGCTCTCTCGCTCCCCGGGGACCGGGCGGGGGACGAGGCCCCACCCCTGCAGCGGCTCTGCCCGCCCGCCTCGTCAAAAGCGGAGCACGGACCGGCCCGCGCCTCTCCTCCGCCCTCCAACGGGCGCCGCTTTAACAAGACCCAAAGTGATTTCCCAAATTACACTCTGGGATGATGTAGGGGACAGCCCCTAAAGCACCAGCCCATCCCGTGGGATCGCTCCACCTGAGCGGGTTCACTGCTGCTGCCTTCCTCCCCGTCTGCAGGTGTGTCAGTGTCCCCTCGTCGCGAGGGGACACGCCCGAGACGGAGGAGCGCTCCTGGGCAAGGCTGTACGGAGAGCCGGGGTCCATCCCGGGATGGGGCCACGCACCCTGCAGCAGGTACATTGCCCATGTATCTCACGTCCCTGCAGGCTTCATGAACCAGCCCTGAGCAATTAGCCAGCCCATTACCCAGCTGGCCTCCTGCCACAGTATCGTGACATAGGGCACAGCCATAGGTCGCCCAGGGTCTTGAATCCCTGGGCAACACATCCCGGTCCCCGGGCAGGAGGGGACGCGGGTGTGCTGCAGCGCATGGCAAACAGCAAGGTCATGGCATGCTCGGCGCTATGTGCATGCTTCAGGCTGAAGCATGGGCAGAGCTAACAGCAAGAGGAGTGGCTGTGGGCTGTGGGTGCAGCATCCTTGCCTCCAGCCCGGGGTTCCACCAGGAGCAGAGACCTGGCTGGAGGACAGTCAGCGCTGGGTCTCGCGGGGCAGCTGTATCACAGAACGGCGAGGGTCGAGCACGGAGGCATCGCACCATCCACAAACAGCCAGCAGCCTGTAAAACAAGGGTGGGAAATGGAGGCTGCTGTTTGGCCACAGCTGCCTGGAAATGCTGCACAGGCGAGCCCTGGAGAGCTGTCCTCCCTCTCCCTCTCCCCGGGCTGTGCCTTAGTCCCCTGCCCATTCTTGTGGCATGGAACTTTAGTTATACAAAACATGTTAGCGAGGCTGATGGGGATTCTGCACGACTTCTGTTCTGGAGAGAAAAATCCTCTGTTGTTGTCTAATCTCATTTCTACACCTGCCAATTTTCCTTTCCCCTTCCTGTCTCCTCACCCTCTTCAGAGCACTAATTAATACACAACTGCCTTGGCCATGCCATGTCCACTGAAAATCTGCATTGAATTAAATGCTGTGCTTTCTTCCTATCTAACTCATTGTCTCTGCTAATCATATCCTTAATTAAGAATTATTAGCTGTTTTTAAATGTGGGACTCCCAGTTGTTAGTGGCTTTTTTTCCTTAAACTACAAGTTAGCAATTTTTAAATGTGATCGTGTCTTTAATTGCATAGAAATAAACCCACATGATCCCAAACCCTTAATCTGCCTATTTTAGGATTTCTTATGGCTGCTTACACTGATAGCAGAGCATCTTCCATGTGAAATCAGCCTTTTAAGGCATATCAAATTACGTTCCAGATTACAGTGAATTAAAAAAAAAATAGGCCAAAGAACATTGAAAAATGTGTGACTTACCCAAAGGTATCCAGTATTGGCTCTGTCAGAAAAAATTCCCCAGGAACTCTGACTCCTATTGCCTTTGCCAAGCATTTGTCTACACTGATACAATTAAAGACAAAATATTTGTGGTATTGAAGGATTATTTGACAAAGATTTTATTGCTATTGTTGTTGTTAGGAAACAATTTTCTGGTAAGATGCTTTGAGGGGAATATTTTCCAGAAATGATTTCCCACCCCTATTATCTGGGCTGTTATAAGCTCCAGTGAGTATTTCAGGATAATGCTCCTAATGGAGTAGTAGAGGTTTTTAAATCTCTCATACACAGATCTCACCATTATTTTTTGTTCAGGAAGAGAAAAAGGTCAAAATTAAACCACAAGCCTCTTGTCATAGAGCATCACCCCCTGACAAAAAAAAAACAAAAAACAAAACCCTTCCTCTTTGACTCCTGTGCAGGTTTGAGGATACCAACCTCTCAGCTGGGGCAGGGGGAGAGGGGCTGTGCACACAAGAACTCAAAACTGCTTTAATTATTGATAAATATATTTACACAACAACACTTTCCGTTTAGGGGAAACATGAGTTACTCATGCAATTACTCAGGTTATATTGACTCAACACTGTCAAGCCCCTGGATTTCATCCCTTTAATACAGAGAATATAAACACCTGTTTATTTAGCAGGGGTTATCTGTGCAGTGCCCTGTGGGTTTGGGAAGGACGTGCACCCTCGCAGCCAGGGGTGGGCGGGTTTGCTCAGCAGCCCTCGGCCCAGCACCAGCAGAGGTGCTGCTCACAGGGCAGGGCAGAGGTGCTGCTCACAGGGCAGGGCAGGGCA